CAATATTATCCAGGAGTTTCCTGGATACAGACCAAATCTCTCGGTCTCTTGTATGGGTCACCAAATCTCCCAGAAAAGTGAAAGTGTCTAAAGTACGTATTTTCACACTTATTTTGGCCGATTTTGGGCAATGTTGGGGGTTATTTTAGTGGTTGAATTGGCAGAACTGAGGTATACCCACTGCAATCCATGTACTCTGCAATATTTGTAGAACTATTGGCTTGAAAACTCACCTAAAATAGGATTTGACAACTACATTTTTGATTTCATTGGATTGACCAGGAACTGGAATTGTGTAGGTATCTGTCTCCAGGCTGGGTGGTCCATTATTGAGGGTGCCAGACTCCAACTGTTCATCTGGGTTTTTGTTTGTGTCTTCAACATCTTTAGCCTGCAATCATGGAAAAGTTTTTGTTGAATTTGCTGCTATCTGTTTACAATTACTCTTGTACATTTTTGCATGCTTTCTTTTCAAGTCATAACTTTAAATTGTATCACTTTGCAGAACCACTAGTTGACCTCTGTGGCTTTCAAGTATTGTTGATAGACAAGAGACAATGACAATATTAAAAATGGACGGTGAAAGTGTGAAATTTATGCCTGCCAAAACAAAGTGTCTGTGTTATGAGGAAGTCTGTCACAAGGGGCTCAAAGTTGCATTCCTAACAAAAAGGGCTTGAAATTAGTGCTAAGAATGAATTTTAGGAATTATAAAATTATTTTAAATTAACTGTCTGAGGCTTTGCTTTCACTTAACCATTAGCCTAAATGTATCATGATGCTGCTTATCTCACCAACCTGGTTGCATTCGATCCATTTCAACAATGTATCAAATGTGAAAGTTACCCACTGGCCAGAATAATAATCATTCCTACAACAACAAAATCTCTCAGGTCAGTGTACATGCTTGATATGTTTCTACGTGAAATTAAATGCTATTTAAGCAAGTTGGCCTTTTGAGTAAAATGAGAGAGAGAATTAATTGTTGTGCCCTTTACTGACCTGTCCAAATGAAGAACTTTAAGACCTACTCTTGATAAGGCTGCTGCTACCACAGACTCTGC